CCTGCGGCTGTTGATCCGAGTCGACGACGACGACAGGTGCGGACGACTCCGTCTTCGAGGGCGATGTCAATGATGGCGATGATTTCGAGACGACGTCGCCGCCGGCCGACACGCGAACCGGTCGATCCGCGATGGGATCCACGACCGGTTGCTGCTTAACGGTATTCCGATGGCTCCGCTCGCTCTCGATCGCGAAACTCGACAGCCCGAAGCTGTTGTCCGGCACGACGATCCGCAGAGTCGACGATTCCGCCCGCGATGGTACCAACGACGTCGTCTCGGTGCTGTCGCTCTCTCGAGACCTCTCACTCTCTCTCTGCGATGTTGATATTGCCCTCCCAACACCCGTTAACTTGTGCTCCGATTTCTCCGCGTTCCCTGCTTCCATCTCCGCCTCGGTGACTTTCTTCTTTTCGCTGTCCTTCCCAAAATCATTGGTCCTCTGAAGACTTTCGGCGGTCCCGTACGAGACCGTGATCGTTTCGTTCGAGAGTTTCGCATCGATTTCACTCTCCACGATGACCCTCGCCTCAACATCGGATTGCCGCGGTATCTGGGTCGTCGTGCTCACCTCGCTAACGTGGGCCGCGTTTTTTCTCTCTAGCGGGACTCGATCGCGGCTTCCGTCTGCGTGAGCGGACGAGTCGCTACGGTGGAATTTGTCATCCACCGTATTCATCTCGCTCTTTGTTTCCGAGCCACCGATGATACCAGGGCTCGACTCGTTCCCGGGAATAATATTCGACACAACGTCCGCCGTGGGCCTTGGCTTCCGGTAATATAACCCGTTGCCTGAGCTTCTGAACGTATTCTTAATCCTCGATACTTGATTCTTCTCAACCGTCCGGCGTTCTAATGTTTCCAACGCAATATTCATCTCCTCGTTCATAATCTCCTCCATCGGCGTCGCGATCGTTGCGGTGAATCTCTTTGTGGAATATCTTCTGCGCGAGGAAGTCGGATTCGTCGATGTCGTCTCCACGGAGTTATTACTGCTGCTGGTGACGTTCAGCGCATCCGGCTGGAGCTTCTGGCCGAAATAAAGAAACTGCGACATATCTTCCACCGGAATATTACTCTCCACTGGCCGGAAGTGTTTGTACAACGACTCTGGCATCGATACGGTGTTCTTCTTGCGCATTTCTGCGTCTCCCAATTTTTGATTGGTAGCTGGCGTTGAAGCGATCGAAGAAGGTGTCGAAGAGATATTTTCGTTCTTCTCGGTTCTGCGTCTCCCAATTTTTGATTGGTAGCTGGCGTTGAAGCGATCGAAGAAGGTGTCGAAGAGATGTTTTCGTTCTTCTCGGTCGTCAGCGATAGAGATTCGTTTTTAGATGTTTTCGTGGTTCGCGATTCCAACTCTTCTCCCGTCGCGTTGAGATTGATCACAGAAACAATTTTTTCAATCGGCTTCCTTGACGATTGAGGAATTTCCTCTTTCATCGATACCTCCGTTCGAGCGCTTGTAACGTAAATGCCGTTTCTAGTCTCTTGGGTTTCCAGGACGTCTTGAGGATCCTTCGAAACGATGTCGCCAGGTCGTGGCCTACGACTGGAAAGAATCCGGTGAGGCTCATGCAAACGTTGATTCAAAATCTGTCGTCTTCTTGCAGTGAGAATGTTGCGTAGTGTCTGCTCACGTTTAGCCTTTGACGACAACGGTTCCGTGTGTAAGGATGTACGCCCATTACGATGATCCGTGACTGACGCGTCTGCAAACAAAAATGGTTTTTCTGTAAGACATCTTTAATTTCCTCAAATAAATTAATTACAGAAATAGATGATAACTTCATAGATATAAATATTGACGAGTAAAAGGCATGAATTTAATTTTAATGACTCGCGTAAAAATAACTAAAGTTCACAGAATACGTTATATTGCTCATTTGTTACGATAAAATAAAAAAAGATTTTTAGTGGCTTGCAAAAAAGAGAACGAAATAAAATTATAAATACATAGTTTGCAACAATTTTTTTTACTAGTATTCGTTAGATACTACATTGAAGAAATACGTCTTAACGCGATTTCTAAATGTTAACTGATCGCATGTATTAAACGATGATACTATGATGTGTAATTGAAGCAATTATAGATTCTGGTCCGTTTCTACACGGATCCGACGACGGAAAGAGAGAATTTTCTACGGATTAATGCGAATCGCTGTTTGCAATCATCATCCGTCAGAGCGTCTCGGTGAAAACCGGAAGAACATTGACCGCTTCTTCTTCACGCTACACAGCAAATGTAATTAAGTTCTCAATTAGATTTGCGTGCGACGTGCAAAACGAAAAAAATTCTCGCGGAGAGAAGTTCTTCAAGTAACGGTATTCTTCAGAGTCGCGAATGGTTTGGGGATACGAGAGGTTCGGTACCGTTACTTCTCTCACGGTTCCATGTGCCCGACGAGCGTTCCGCTAATAATCGTCTGTCACGATTGTAAAAACGGTCCGAGTCGCGCTCATGAATCCGACATTTCATTTGAGTTCATTCAAAAGCATCTACGGTTAAATGTTTAGCTAGATACACACATACATATGCAGAGAGAGAAAGAGAATAGAGATATAGAGATAGAGAGAGAGAAAGAGAGAGAGAAAGATCTGAAAATAATTTTGTTTCGATCACCAAAATAATATGTAGGATGCTTTTAATTGTCAGAATATCAAAACTTTACAGTGTTGTCATCAACGTTTAAATGTTTCACATAATTATTTTGAAAGTTCAACAATATTGTTTTCAAATCTATATCCAGCTTTTTTATATACTTCAGCAAAATCGTTCTGTCATATACAATTAAATCTTCTAATGAAAAGAAAATTATTAGTTTCTGCCAATAAATTAACTTTCGAAAAAAAATCTCAAATGAGGAAGAATATTAAATTAAATAAGAAATATCAAATAAACATAAATTTCAGTGCAATATTATTATATCGCTGCGTTGATAGAAAAGCAATATATGGTAATTGAAAGCATAATATGAAAAGAAAATAAAGTTAAAAAAATTGTATTCACCATCCTAATTAAAACGTTGTACATAACAATTTACAGTTTTAAAAATGTTCTATTGAAAAATTGGTAATTTTGAGAGATGACACTTTTCCATCAACGCAGCGATGTGTCCATAAACTATTCTTTTTAACTTCGTACTCGAGCGAATTTCTCGTTTCTCTGTACTTATACTCAAGAATTGCTCCTCGCGGTTTTCTCATGGTACAATAACGTCCGCCGACAGCCATATCGTGCAGATAATGGGCGTTGCTCGTTTCGCTTCGCTTCGAAAATTCGTTCGTACTGTAAAATGCCGAAGAACGCACGCCATAATATCTACGTACAAGCATGTTCCGCTGGGGGATCATTAAGAGCTCGTCGGCAAGGATCGAGAGAAGATGCTGCGCGTCACGAATTTATTCTCTCATTGTCCGTAAGCGGGACCGACCCCCAAAGCGGACGCTTCTCGAATCAGTAAAAAATTCGAGAGACGATACAGCTGTAACAAACTTAATTTACAGCGACGTAAAAGCTCGGCTTGCGAGCTCGTTAAAAGGTTCAATAAATGCTATTTCGTGACGGTATGAATTTCTGAATGATTCTAATGCCCCATGAAAAGGCCCCGTGGATTCGAAGATTATCGTGACATACGGCGGTTCGGTTTTCATTTGCGATTCTCACCTAACGCGTTATTCTGTGTTAAAATATTTCCTGCGACTTCGAAGTTATAAATTCGATGCGTTTTGAGAATTTAAAATTTTATAGGATTTGTGACACTATAGAATTTTTTTAAATATATTACTATAATTTCTGAATAGAAAAATTTTTTAGGGATTTTCTGGTAGAAAAGAGCAATAGAAGATGTATAGTTCCTTCTTTCATAAAGTGTATTTAAGTTTTCAGAAATTTTTATTTCGACTCCTTGAGCAATACCTTGATTTTAAAATAATAAGGTATTATTCAAACATGTATCATTTGTTATAACAATAATATAATAAAAAAATATCATTAAGTTGTTTAGAAAAAAAAAGAGTAGAAATATCAAAAAAACATACTTACGAGTTACACATTTTTATCTTTCTAAAATCAGTTATTACATCAAAAATTGCATTTTAAAATTAATCCTATAAAATTTTAATGATTCTAAATATTCAAATTTATTTTTTGGAAAACTTCATTTTTGAGTTGTGTCGTTGTCGAAGTAAATAAACGATATAAAGATCAATTTTTGATTGCTAGAATAATAACTTGTCATCGTGTATACGGTAAGACATTGTAGGCTCGACAACCAATTCAACATTTTAGAGATACATTTCAACGAAACAGATATTCCGAACGTGCAAATCGCGACGTGGAATCCGCCCTGTTGCGGAGCCTGCTTATAAATATACACGAGTATCCCGCCAACCCGAGCTCTGAATAATGCAGTCTGCCTAATCTCAACCGAAATCGCGGGAATTGTCGTCTAACCTTCTACTCTACGCGGAATTTTCATCAGTCTCGAGGAAACATAAAGTACAGAACGTGATAAACAAAAAAAAAACAAAAATCCGAAAATTTCCTACTACATACAATAATTCGAAAAAATATTTGAATCGATGAACAATTTAAAAAATATAATTATATTCTAATATGTTGAATTTTACTACTCATTAAAAAAATTTACTTTAATAGATATTTATTCACAAATAGTACTAGCTGAATATTTACTGAATGTAAATATGTATTTATTTTTGGTACAAAAATCATTAATTCGATTTAAATATTTTTTTTATATTTCATTTTATTTAAATATCATTGTCTTATTTAATAAATATTTATTTATTGAAGGTAAACGTTAACTCAGTACCTACTATTAAAATAAATATTTATCAAAATATTCAAAATTATTAAAAGATTTAGTACATTTTTTCTCAGGGTATGCTATACAAAAAGTACAATGTTATTCTAAAAATTATGCTATTTAGATATAGATCTGAAAATAATTTCATTAGACCATTAAAATAATTATGTAGAATGCTCAAGAGAGTTTCTGGAATGCCAAAACCTTTTGCGATATTGCTCATTATCCTTGAATGTCTTACATAATAATTTTGATCCAACAAGATTATTTTCAGATTTGTGTGTGTACATCTAATTAAATTTGTAAATACTTCATTAAAATAGTTTTGTCTATGTATAAAACACTATTATACTACCCAGATTTCAAGTAGGCAACCATAAAAATCGCGACTGTAAAAGCGCTGTAAAAGCGGGAGAAAGAGATGGATAGAGAGACAAGACTCGCTGTCGCAAGTTCGCCAATTGTCGTCGCGAACGTGACTGCATCGTAATATTTTATGTGGACACGTGTATGAGGAAGGTCAGTGCTGTCTCTGTTCTTGTTCCGCGGGTTCTCGATCCCCTCGAGTCTTGACGGCCACGGACTGACTGGCTGGTTGGCTGGTTGGCTGACTGCCCGAGTGAACTACAATGCGGGCGGCACGTGAGATGACTCTGAGATGTGTCACACACTCGCGGGCTGGACCCACGAAAGCGGACCCCAGATTCGACGTGAGATGCGTGAGTCTGAGCCTCGCGAATCGCGCGTACCGTTTCACTGTCCCACTTTTGTTACGAGGCCCAGGTCGACTCTGTTTTTTTTTCTTATTTTTTACCTTAATGCCTGTTTTATTATCGTAACAAACGCGCGCATCGTGCATCGTGCTGCAATTTTAATAACTTCAACGTAATGCATTCTCACGTCGACGAGCGGCCTTTGTTTGAAGGGAGGAATTATTGCCTGTATAGTTCTATAAAATTATGTGTTCATGCAGTATTCGTGTCGAAGCTCCGATTGCGAGAACGATAAAATAATAGTAGCTGCGTAACAATTGACGTATTTTCCATGAATATATGCTTTAGCTTTATTAACTTCTATTATTCTTCGTTTTTATTATTTCTCAGAAGAGCGTATTTTATACCCGAGGCAGCCTAATAAATCATCGCAATCTTATGAAGTGTTTCAAGTTTTTTAATACTGTATGGATTATCATTGAACGTTAGTTCTTTTACACACTAAATATATCTTAAAATTTGCTTAAATAGTCTATAAATTAACTGAAAATTAATACTTTATTGTTTATCGACAATTCTTTTCAAATATTTCGATTTGTTTATAATCTAAAAAACTAATTTTATCTTTGCAAAAATTGCTTTAATTTTAAATTTATTACAAAATCTCTTAATTTTTATGAAACATATATTCCAATTTTCAGCTATTCAATCATCAGGACGTGCTACAGATTTATTGTTATCCCTCTCTTATCTCATGATTGGTAAAAATTCCCACTGTGCATCTTATACCTACAATATAAAAGCTAGAAAGTCTTAATAAGCATGTCGCGTAGAATTTGCAAGTGAGTCGCGACAGGAAGTAAGTTTCCTGATGCAGTCAGCAGATGTTAGGGAGTAAGGTGGCAATTACGGCTTAAAGTGTCATAATATGTCTGTCTATATGGTGAATATGTCTCTATTACCAGCGTCATTACATAATATCATGGTACGTAAGTTCTAAGATATTCCACGATATTGCCGCGCGACTCGTCGCCTCTTCGTCGGCTTCCGAAACCTAATGCCGCTTAGCTAAGCGCGATCGCAGCAGATAAATATTTCAGGCTTGTAGTCACCCTTACCTGCATGTGTAATGCGATGCGATTTGAACTAAGTATACAGATATTCATACAC